TCGTTCGGGCTAAATTTGTGTGTTGTGTTTCTACGATGTGTGACGGGTTCCCCGCATTGTGTTGTGGTGGTACTGGTGAGCTTGCAGTACAGCTCTCTCATCTGAGTGATTTTTATGATTTGAGTGTGTTCGGGTTGTTGCTTATTAGTGCGCTTATTACACGAGTGGTGGCTTTAGTTTGTATTGATGTGTCATGTCACTAGAGTAGTTGTGTTGGATTAGATGAGATCGTTGGGATCTATAATGAATACAAACGGATTCGATTTCAGCATGTTGGAAGGATAATATCGATGTTCGGCTTAGAAATTGCCATGGTCCTTGCCAAAAGAGAAGTGGCTTCACGAATGATTGATCTGAGGAGTAGTTATGACTTCCTACGTGTTTCATTTATCATTGGAAGTATACGGAAGTGTTGGAATGAGACTTTATTTAGTAAGAGGTTTATTATCGATATTCAGTTGTTCTGAGCAACTGCTGTGATTAGAAGTTATCGCTACGAGAGTTTGAGCTATATGGTATATCATGTAATTGCATCTGAGGCTGCAGGTATGATTTGTTACAGCTTGTTCGAACTTATTCAAAGTATAGATGTGAGATTCTGATCTTATAGATGATTTCAGAAGTGGAAATGTGGTTCTAAGGTTTATGGGCTAGGTTGGATTGTGAAATTTCAGTTACATTGTGTTATCGGACCTATATGAGATAGGGTGACATGGGATCACCCCCGGGTATGTGCATGATAAGGTTACACAGCGATTTGATGGTTTTCGGAACAACTATGGGCACGTACGAGGACGAACGTATATTTAAGTGGGGGAGGATGTAACGACCTGACTGGTCGTTCTGAGCTTTTGCACTTCGCTCACCAGTTCTCGGGCATGACTAGCCCCATGTGATATATTATGACTTGTGTAAATTGTCGGTTTTGGTTTTCAGGGTAATTGGAATGGTTTTGGAAGGACAGTTCTCAATTTGAAGCTTAAAATTTGAAAGGTTTGACCAAGTTTTGACTAGTTAGCATATGATCTCGGATTGGAAATTTTATGATTTGGTTAGCTCCGTTAGGTGATTTGGGACTTAGGAGCGTGATCGGAATGTATTTTGGAGGTCCGTGGAAGGCTTAGGCTTGAGTTGGCGAAATTGAAATTTTGGCATTTTTCGGTTGATAGGTGAGATTTTGATATAGGGGTCGGAATGGAATTTCGGAAGTTGCAGTAGGTTCGTTGTGTCAAATGTGACGTGTGTGCAAAATTTCAGGTCATTCGGACGAGGTTTGGTAGACTTTTTGATCAAAAGCGGAATTCGGAAGTTTTTGGAACCTTAGGCTTGAATCCGATGTGATTTGGTTGATTCGATGTTGTTTGAGGTGTTTTGAAGATTCGTATAAGTGTGGATAGTGGTATATGACTTGTTTGTGCTTTTGGTTGAGGTTCCGGGGGCCTCAGGGTGATTTCAGATGGTTGACGGAAGATTTTGAGTTGGGTTTGGCAGCTGAAGTTTTTCTATTGCTGTCATAACCGCACCTGCGGCTAGGGGACCGCAAGTGCGAACTCGCAGAAGCGGATACGGAGGCGCAGAAGCGGCCTTAGGCAAAGTGAGAGAAGGCGCAGATGCGTAATGTGATCTGTACCTGCGGGCTCGCAGATACGGAGCCTGGGTTGCAGGTGCGGAAATGGGACTTAAGTGAGTAACCGCAGAAGCGGTGCTTTGACCGCAGAAGTGGTAGAGCAGATGCGACCATTTAACCGCAGGTGCGGTTTTGCTGGGTCAGAATATATAAATTTCACCCTTCGCGATTTTGAGTGGGTTTTCACCATATTTCATTCGGGAGAAAGCTTTGGAGAGCTAATTGAAGGGGGAATTCAAGAAGGTTTCTTAGAGGTAAGGTCCTTGGTCCCTAAACTCGTTTTTATGATGATTTTTAAGGTTGTAAGCTTTAACTATATGGGAAAGTCAGTAGCAAATTGGAAGTTAAGGCTTGGAAATTGGAGACCTAAATCTAGGGATTTGAGGGGTCGTTTGTGGTCGGATATTGATGTATTTGATATGTATGAACTCCTGAGAGTGTAAGGATTCTAATTTTGTGATTTGTATCGGATTCTGAGACGTGGGCCCGGGGTCAGGTTTGGTCAATTTCGGGATTCTTGATGTAAATTGGTTATTTTCGAGTGGGCTTTGTTCCCTTAGCGTATTTTGATGGTATAAATCTGTTTTGGATAGATTTGGAGCATCCGGAGGCCGATTCGAGAGGCAAAGGCATCGCGGGCTAGAGTTGGACCGGATTGAGGTAAGTAATGGTTGTAAATGTTGTCCTGAGGGTATGAAACCCCAGATTTCACATCGTTATGCTATTTTGAGGTGATGCACACGCTAAGTGACGGGCGTGGGGTCGTGCAGCATTGGGGATTGTGACTTGGTCTGTCCCGTACGACTGTTAAGTCACGTATTTACTTGAAAACTATTTGATATTGTTATATTTTGGAACGTATTATTGTGTTTGGGGCTAAATGCCATGTATGCGCCTTGTGCCGATTGTTTGGACCCTTAGGGGCTTTTACTACTATTTTTCCTCACTGTTTTGGTTTAATGTTTACACTCAGTCATGCTATGTTCTTACTATTTTCATAACTCGCTTTTATTCACTCCTTTTGATTTCATAAATGATTTTGAGCCGAGTACTTGTTTTACTGTCAGCCCGAGGGGCTTGAGTGAGATCTGACTGAGTGAGGCCAATGGTCTGTGTTGTGAGGATATCATGGGATCGGGCTGCGCGCCGCAGCATGTGGTACTGATTTGTGATATATGAGAGGCGAGGGCCAGATTTATTATGCCACGAGGTGGCTTGTGATTGATATGAGGCCAAGAGCCTGTTTGATTATGCCACGAGATGGCTTGTTATTGCGCTTGGGCCGTAAGGGGCCCCTCCCGGAGTCTGTACACCCCCAGTGAGCGCGGGTACCCAGTGTCAGTGATGTGTTGTAGCCCGAGGGGCTGTTGTTGTTTCATATTATTGCCCGAGGGGCCGTTCTTGATCCATATTTTTCCCTCGGGGCGGTTCTTGATTTATGTTATGCCCGAGGGGCTAATTACGAGTGATTGTCCCGAGGGGCTGTTTACGTTTCTATCATTTTTACTCACTGTTTTTATCACTCGTTTGAAACTATTGGAAGATGTTTTAAAAAGGAAAGAGTTTTTTTTTGTGAAACTGAGTTTGATTTGTGAAATAAATGATTTTTGTACTATTTGGAAAATGTACTGTATTTGTTGTAGCGTTATGACGTGGCTTACGTGTTTTCTTACTGCTCAGCTTTTATTTACTTTTATTACTTACTGAGTTGGCGTACTCACATTACTCCCTGCACCTTGTGTGCAGATTCAGGTATTTCTGAACCCGGTAGAGGGTGTTGATTGCTCAGTGGCAGAGTCATTAGAGTTAGCAAGGTAGCTGCCCGACGTTCGCAGCACTGCTTTTCTCCCTCTTGTCTTCCTTAGACTGTATTTAGTATATTTTTTTAGACTCTTAGTTGTATTCAGACCTTAGTAGATGCTCGTGACTTGTGACACCCCGATGTCGGGCTGGTGTATTTATTTCGCACTGTTCATTTAGACTTACATTATGAGATATCTGATTAACTAAAGGCTTAAAAATGATTGTTATTGATTAAAGGGTTGAATCCGGGAGTTGTGTCGGCTGGCCTAGTTTCACGATAGGCGCCATCACGACCGGGTCGGTTTTAGGGTCGTGACAGTAACCTTTGACCTATGGCCACGCTTTTTACGTGTTGCCATAGAAGCCACGCTTCAAAAGTGTGGCCGATGCATAAAAAAGCTACGCTTTTTATATTTCCTCTTGTAGCCACGCTTTTATGATGTAAAGTTACAAATTTGAAGCGAGGTCTTTGGTTCCTTATATACAACGTTTTTAAAGCGTGGCTTCTAAAGCAATAGTTATAGAGCATAGCGCCAAATTGACAATCCCTATGGCCACATTTTCTAGGCGTAGCATTTTTGTCTGCGCTATGAAGTAATTTTTAATCCACAATTTTGTGGTTTAAAAATTATATTTGTTTACATTATATTCTTTATTCACATTTATTTCAAGCATATACGTTATGATCTCAAGCACTAAATTAGATGATAAGTAACCGAATAAAAATAATTCAATTATACATATATATATATATACATACATACTTGAAATAAACTTCAACAAAGAAACGTATACTGCCCATACTAATAAAGTACTGCTTCAAGAAGTTCGCTAGCAATGAACTCTACAAAATCAATGTATTCATATATATAGTATCAATAATAACAATAAACATCACAATTTGTCAAAAAGTCTCCACCGTTCACTTTAATGGATCAAATTGACTTGTGGCCTACATCATCAGTATTTTCCTGCACATTCAAAAAAAATTAAAAATTAGAAAGAAACGTATATATAGTATGTAACAGTCATAGCAATATTTTTCTTACTAAGAATTAATGAGATTTATTTCACTACTATAACATAACTAAGTCAAACACAAAAAAGAAGTACAAGCTAAGGAGAAGCAAAAAAGTGAATTAACATATATTTCGCCTAAAAATCATGTTCACTTATCTCAACTTGCATGTGCAAATTAACTTGCAGTTCTTACTATAGATAAGGATCAAATGTAAAACTGTAGTATCTAGCCAAGATGAATTTGATCCTAATATATATGTCAACGAATCTAGCAAATTAGATACTGTAGCAGCATTATCATAATCTCTAATAAATTTCTAACTTGTTTGTTGAAAAAGTGAACCAAAGTCTCCCATAATGGTGGCAGATAGCAACTTATGTGATTTCATGTCAGCAACAATTGCATTGTAGCATTCAGACAACTGTACTAAATAAAAAATAGATAGTCAAAGAATAGTGATTTCCCACAAAAGAAATATACTAGCAGAACCCAATCCCAAGCATCAAAGGGAGAAAACTATAAGTTTTCACTTTATGTTGCATCATAGAGACATCCCATGTAACCTCTTAAACATAACATGAAAATATAGTTAATATGACAAAATCAACTTATTTTCCTTCCATTCATTGATAACTCCTATTATCACACAATAGAACGCTCAAATGTAAATAGTTTAGAAAAGCATGGTTTTGTAACTTAGGATGAAGTAGTTTTTTGGGAGAGTCCTTTTCAAGACTCGGAGCATAAGTTGAGCCAGAAGAATGGGATAGATTTTGGCCTTTCATAGCGCGTGCACTACTTGCATCAACAGGTGAAAGAAGATTAGATCCAGCACACACTTGTATATCAGAACATCTAATTCAGGATTGTTTTGCACCAATTGACTTAAAAAATGTCGCATTTCTTCTCTCATCATTTCCTTCATTTCTTTCTTCAGAGAAGTCATTTCATTGGCATGCTTTTGTTTAAGCTTGTTGATTTCTTCATCTCTTTTCAGAGAGTTTGTCGTCACCAATCTACCATCGCATCTAACCCGACCAGGCTGCTCCTTCCCAAACACAACCCTAAATGCATCATCTGCTGTTTCTCCAGAACTTTGACGATTCTGAAGTTCAGACTGTGGAAAGAAATATTATTAAGCATCATTTACAAGTCAAGATAGATTGAATGTAGGGTCTTGTTTCTAACTTAAAAATAAAGTTTTTGAGTGCTAGAAATCAAGACTTCAGGAATTCCAAAATGATTTAGATAGAAACCAATAAAACTATTACTTAAGAAGTTTAATAAAAAACATGAAAAATTTACAAACCAAAATGAGAATGTAATGTGTACAGGGTGCACACTGGTAACCTGCTCATTATGCAATAGCTCACAAACCAAAATTATACAAATGCAATAGGCCACCAACCAATACAAAACTGATCTCCCACTTATCAACTAAGTCCTCTAAAAAAATTCATATACTATATATTCCCAATTTTCCATAACACTTCTTTTGCACAAGAAATATAGATATAGCAAACAATTATTTTTTATTCAGGAAATATGTTACCTTCTTTCTTCAAAGCAGACCCTATTTTTTCCCAACCATATTGTCCATAAACATATAGAGAAATTATTCTCCACACAGCTAATTGACTCTTAGCCATATTTGGAAGTTGCCAAATTTTTAGTAAGCTTTTCACATTTGAGGGCAATACCATCTGACTCCATACATATTTAAAAGAAAGAGCTCCTAGCATTATTTTGCCACTTTGCAATGAATAAAAAGGTTATTAGACTTATGATATAGGGACAGTTCTAATTATTTCTAGTGAGACTTCTGCATTTTATTCTGACTAGTTGGGCTGGAGGTATAATAATAAGTTTTAAGTTTAAAAGTTGATCTTCACAGCTTATGTTCTTGGTGTACATTAGTTTTATAAAAGTTTGTATGCAACAACTCAATTTTATAGCTCTCTTTGTGACTCAATCTGTCGACTACTGTGGGATAGTGCTTATATTTGGTGTAAATTCCACATGTGTGTGCTTTTTTGTTTTTTAATATGTGATCTCTTGGTAATTCTGCCAATGTGAGCTTCACAAACAATAGTCCATCTCATGTGCAGAAAAATGAGGAGGATTACGGTATGTGAGACTTCCTGATATCAGCAGTTCCTACCCACATGAATTTATTTCTTATAACATTCAATTTTTTTCTCTATTTTTGCTGGCATTTTAAAAAGGGACATCTTTGTTTCACAATAACTTTTCAGTTTTGTGACCTTGTGAATTTCTTTAAGAATGCATGATTTTAATTAAAAATCTAAAACTTTAAAAGAAACACATTTAATTAAAGAGAGGGGAGATATAATAACAAGATCTTAGCTTGCTGCATGACTTACTATTGCAACTAGAGTATCTGTTTGAACTTCTTTTCCTTTCTTTGTACGAGTTGCCGTAAACATTTCAGACTTTGATAGTTCCTCATTGTTCTCTTTGCTTGCGTGCTGCAAATTACATCAAAAGAAAGTAAAAAGTAAACATCAATGTGTTCCGACAAAATACAAAAGAAATGGAAGTAAGATTTTTTCACAAAGTGTCAACTAAATATTACCAATGCTACGCGTATTCTTGCAAAATTAATAGGTCCCATTCGATGCCTCCACTTTTGTTTATTTCTGTTTTCAGAATTTAACTGGCATATGGCCTAGAACCAAAAAAAGTATATTAATTAATAAATCAAAAAGGAAAAAAGATATAATGCGTCAATATGTTCAAGTGTAGAAATGCACAATTTAATCTCACTTGGACATCTCAATCTTTCCAGTACTCAAGCAATTGGCAGAATTGAACTTCTGGTATCTCATTCGGACGATTTTGTAGCAGATCTTCAACAGTAGCATTCTTATTGAAATGTTTCTTCTTAATATTTCTCTTGTGCCGCCTCCAGGCATCACGAAGACCAGCCATTACCCACTTCTCTCCTTCTGTTGGAAATAAGAACTTGGACAATGCAAAATAACGTATATTTATCTTCACTAAAAAAAATATAGAATGGAAAAACTGATTGTTCTTACGTTGACATATTCCCACATTCGTTGCTTAATATCCTTTGACACAGCATGCCAACTAGTATGCACTAAGGTGATAAATCTAGGATTCCTTGCAATTGTTCCTATAAAGTTGGTCAAATCAGACACTCTCTTGTCAGTTGGTCCCACTGCCTGTCCTTTATCAAATGTTACCTCCTCTCTTTCTTCAAAACTTCTTGCATGAATATTCTTACATGTTGTTTGCCCTCGAACTCTTTTCTTTTCTGATGTCCCTAGATTGATGTAATAGCCAAGACATAAAAAAAATTGCAATATATAAAGAAGTTACATAATTTACGACATACCATATGCAGCACAATCAATGTTCGCGTCCTCATCTCTAACAAACTCATCGTCACCAACTTCAACAAAAATTTCCAATTCTATTTCATGCTCATCTATTGGGTGAATATCAGGACGTTTTCCACCAGCAACGTGTATCCCATACTTTTCTAGAAATTGATTATGACTCGTCGACGGTAGGACCGAGTTTTTTTTAACCTTTTTGCAATTTTGTATCTCCTGAATGTCAAGTTGTCTCTGTCTTTCACCTTGTGTTCTAATCATATGTGAAGTATTAGGATCTTTTTGTGAAAATGATGGGAGCATGGATGTGTGCACAGGTAATTTACTCATTCCTTGTTTTTGAATGGGATCCTCCAATTGAGTTAACCTCTGTTTGCTCTGTCCTTTTATTTCTATGTTTTGTGAAGTATTCAGATCTTCCCTTGAAGGCGATTGGATAATTGATCTGTACATAGGCAATTTACTGCTTCCTATCTTTTGAACTGACTCATCGGATTTTGTTAACCTTTGTCTTCTTTGTCCTTCTGATGTTGCAGGCATATGACTCTTTCTTTTAACTCCAAGTGATGCCTGCTCTTTCATAGCTTTATCTTTGTGATCACTTGCAAGCTTTTCTCTCTTAATCTGAAATTTTTTGGCCAATTCGGCACTTGATCGATATTGAAAATCAAAACCTATATTCTTCATTGGACTCTGCGCTTTGTTTGGATTCGAAACCTTTTTCTTTAGAGCTGCTGCTTGATTCATCCTTCAAACAAAGAAAAAAAAATTATTTTAGCCCAGCAACTAGTAGGAATACATAACTCTATACTGAAAATAGACATTTAAGACCAAGCTATCAAGAAAATATACAAAGTTCAGCAAAAAATTAAGACAAAATTATTTAAACTAAAAACTATCAGAAAAGTACTCTACCAAAAAGGTTCAGCAAAATTCAAGATTGACCCAATTTTTGAAACTTCTTCATTTCTTCAATACAATATGACCAAAAGAAAGAAAAAATTACGCTTTTCTCACATACCATGTTCTTTGTAATTGTTCTATGTAAAATACTGAAATTTGCTCAAGAATCTAAGAAACAGCTAAGCAAGAAAGATGTGTCTTTAGTACAGTTAATGTTCTGATAGAATATAATCTAAAATAGACTGAATCAATGCCCTCTTACCCCAAACAGGCTTCCTAAGTCCTTGGCAATCAAGTAATTTCAACCTTCCAGTTTTTTTGATTGCAATAGAATGACATATAAACATGACTAATATTGATGGTATAATCTTTGACTAATTACTACTTAAGCTTAAGATAAACTAGTTGTAGCATAACATTGGTATAGTCTTTGAATAGTTAATAGTTGTCATCTAGCTCTAAGGGTATTAACTAAAATAAATCTTGAGCGACGACTATAAAATGTCCATAGAACAACAAGAAATTATCGTCCAGTTACAAAAACAAATAGCTATACTTCTAAAATAAACCGAGTTACAGAGATACCTGTGCAGTAGCTATTTGCCTCCTCAAGAATTGTTAGTCAACAATTTTCTTTAGTTGGATGAGTACCACCTGATAACAATAGAAAAAATATGTATACTTTAATACATTTTTGAATACTCGGGGAATAAGATTAATGACAAATACAAAACTATAATTTCTACTTACTCATTTTCACTTCCCTGGATATTTTGTGCAAAACTAGAGGACTTAAACCTCTTTCCATATACTGATGCAATATGGTTCCTCATGTTACGAAAATAAATTGAGGCACACTTAATAATGACCAAATACTTTAGAAACCAAAAGGGACACTCTATAATTATATGAGCAAGCCGTATATAAGCACAAGAAAGAAACATTTAGCCAAAAAAATTCAATATTAAAACTTGACAAAACAGCAAGCAAATATCATCAATTTGAATCTAAAGCAGTAATCTTTAATCTGTCCCTAGTTGTGAAACAAGAAATGGCTTAGCTATTTTCTATTTTAATTAGAATCAAGCTCATAATGTATCCTAAAAATCAAACTCGTCCTCCGATTCAAACTCCTCTTCTGATTCAATTTCAAGTTGTGCAAGAAATCCTTCTGGAGGCACATCAACAATGGTTGCTCGTAAATCATTCCTTACTAAGACAACTTCATCATTATCATCTGGAATAGATGAGCCCGCCAAATGTTCAGACGGCTCATTTTCATAACAGTGTGGGGCATTAGATTCAATTTGGTCACTTATGCTAAACAAATCTCTTGGAACAGTCTTCATAACATAATGTTTATCTTGATGATATGGTTCTTGCACGTAGAAGCATTGGTGTGCTTGCGATGCTAGAATAAAAGGCTCTTCTTGATAGTATTTCTTGTTGAAGTAGACATAAGTAAGGCCATAAATATCTTCTTCAAACTCATACCAATCACACTTAAATAAGACAACCTTAAAATGTCCATAATAATCTTACTCAACTATATCAACTATTCTGCCATAATAAGTCAAATTCGCATCAACCGGATTTTTATCCTTTGCACTTGCGAAGCTTGTTGTTAGGGCAACTAATGTAACACCTCTATTTTGCGTTTTACGCCTTGCATCACGTTGCCTCGTGTGGAATCTATATCCATTAATGAGATATCCAGAATATCTTTTAGCAACTGAATTTGGTCCTATGGATAACTGTTTTATCAAATCGGGCACATCCTCATACAACACACGAGTTTCAAACCAATGAGAGAAGTTTTGACTATGATTTTTGGCCTTGTTCCATCTAGATCCTCGCTTCTGATTATTAACCTCCACCTCATGCTCTCTGTAGAACAAGAATTTTTATTTGTTTAGAAAAAAAAATTAAGAATTATCTACATAAAAGGAAATACTACAAGTGAATAAAGTTACCTAATATATTCATGAATTTCATCACAATTATTCAATACATATGCATGCGCCTGACTTAGTGACCTTCCATCTAAAACAATCGGATCATTCTTTTTAGCTCCTAAAGGACAACCTCTGTTAGGAAACAAACTGAAAGTTTATGCATCAGAATCACATTCATCATTGTTTCGGGTTCTTCTATAAAATCTGGTTTGTACACCTCCACGCAAGTATCTAGAGCACAAAGTTAAATACTCTTCAACCAAATATGCCTCAGCAATAGATCCCTCTGGATGATTATTGTTGCGAACATACAATTTTAACGTACACATATACCTTTCAGGAGGATACATCCATCAATTCTGAACTGGACCTCCTAATCTTACCTCGTTCACCAAATGAATAGGCAAATGAATCATTATATCAAAAAAAGTTGGAGGAAAAATTTTCTCAAATTGATTCAAAGTTTCTTTAATCTCTATCTCCAAACAATCTAGCTCTTCCAGTGTGATAACTTTTTGACATAGACGGCGGAAGAAGGAACTTAGACGAATCAAAAGAATAGAGCCATGATCAGGAAGTATGCTTTTAATTGGTATTGGCAACAAGTAATGTAACATAAAATGGGCATCATGGGTCTTATAACCAGATAATTTTCTTTCGTCTAGTTGCACACACCTAGATATATTAGAAGCACTACCATCAGGTAGCTTTGTTGTCTTTAGAACACCACAAAAAACTGATTTCTCTCCATTAGCCATTGAGAAGCACGCATTTGCATACTTTATTCTCTTGCCATCCTTTGTATCTTTAGGGTGAAGGTTCTTTCTAATGCCCATCTCTTTTAGATCATAACGAGCATTTGCATGATCTTTTGTCTTGCCAGGAATATCCAAAAGAGTTCCAATTACGTTGTCAACTATGTTTTTCTCTATGTGCATTACGTCAAGATTGTGACGTAACGAATTGTGCTGCCAATAAGGTAACTCAAAAAAAATTGACTTTTTTTTCCATGGGCCATCATTTGTTCTCTTCCGCTTCTTCCCAAACACATTGTTAATATTTTGTATGCTATTAAGCACATCCGTTCCATTTAGTAAAGGCGGAGGAGGCCTAAATTCTGTCTTCCCATTAAAAGATCTTTTGTTGGATCTCCATGGATGATCCATGGGTAGAAAAACACGATGATCCATATAACACATTTTTCGACTATGTTTAAGATAGAGAGAATTAGTACCATAATTACAACAAGGGCAAGCCAACATTCCTTTTGTACTCAAACCAGATAACATAGCATATGTAGGGAAGTCACTGATGGTCCATAAAAGAGCTGCTCGCATTTGAAAGGTTTGATTTCTTGAAGCATCATATGTTTCCACCCCGGACTCCCACAACACATTCAACTCTTCTATCAATGGTTGTAAATAAATATCAATGTCATTGCCAGGTGATCGCGGCCCGGGTATAAGCAAAGAAAGCATACAGTATTCTGGCTTCATACACATCCAAGGAGGCAAATTATATACCATTAAGATAACTGGCCATGTGCTATGAGATATGCTCATGGTCCAAAATGGATTGAACCCATCACTTGCCAAGCCAAGTCTCAAATTGCGAGAATCTCTTGCGAAATTTGGATGAAAGCTATCAAAGTCTTTCCATGCTTGTCCATCAGCAGGATGCCTTAACTTTCCATCTTTAGAGCGCTCCTCATTATGTCACCTCAATGTATCTGTTGTCTTTGAGCACATGAATAGCCTTTTGAGTCTAGGAATTAATGAAAAGTGTCTCAAAGTTTTTGCTGGAACATGATGAGCTTTTTTAGAAGGCTCAATCTCGCTATCTATTTCAGGATATTTAATATATCTGGAAGCTCCACAAACATGACAATATTCATCAGCCTTATGTTCATTCCTAAATAGCATGCAATCATTGAGACATGCATCAATTTTTTTATAATCAAGACCGAGATCCTTTACCATAGACTTGGCATTATTGTAGGATAGAGGAATATTCAAGTCGGGCATTGCCTCTTTCAATAACTCTAAAAGAGAAGTGAATGATGCATTGCTCCATCCATGTAGACTCTTCAACAAATATAGATGGATTGTAAATGATAATCTAGAGAATCCTTTACAACCAGGATATAGTTCTTGGCTTGCCTCATCAACTAAGTTATAGAATTTATTGGCATCCTCATTTGGACCTTCGTAAAGTCCTTCAGCTTACGCAGCATCTCTAAATCGATCATTCAATAACTCATTAATATCATCATATGAGTTATCTTCATCATTCATGTCACCATCAACATTCATTGGGATTTCCCATTCACCATGATTAATCCATCTTGTATATCTTCGTACAAATCCGTAGCATATTAGTTGATCAAACACTATATTTTTTTGAGTCCAACGAATATTGCAACACTATGCACATGGACATTGAATTTCCTCACCTTGAGGATCACCATAAGAGTTAGCAAATTCTAAGAAAGATTGAACATTAATATACTCTTCGCTATACCTTGGTAAATCCATCCAATCCTTGGATGGAATATTTGAAATCCTAAAAATTAGACATTGATATTAGACCATCAAATATATAATGATTTGAGTTTAAATATACTTTACAAATAAATTCAAAAAGTCATGAGTAAATTTTCAAAATTATGTAGTGTATGATGATAAGAATTTCTTACCTAGTCATGACAGTTATGCTAAGCTAAACCCAACTTCAAGTACAGATCTTCTTGAGCGTTGACTTATGTTCTTAGAGAAAAAAAGTAAAATTAATAGGATCCAAATAATAAAAAGATAAATGAACAAAATATTTCTTGGTAGGGAGTTTCAACTAAGTACATACTTATTAGTGCAAAACTCGCATGTTAAATTGACTTCTTTGACGAATTAACATCATAAAATCCATGAAAGAATAAGAACAACGAAACCAAAAGAAAACATTAAAAAGAAAAAGCAAAAAGAGAAAACAGTAGTGTCAAATTCCTATATAGCAATATCCATTTTCCAGCAAGCGAGCAAACAATAGCGTCAAATTCCTATTTACCAATATTGTTGTTTACGGCTTCAACGAAATATCAAATAAGAGAACCAACTTGAGTTAATAATCATTATCTCAAAAACTCAGTAGTAACACTTTGCTCATTGCTAATTCTAAACTGTCTAGTTAAAGTCAAATTCCATGAGTAAATAATACATATTACTATAATAGTTTAGGAAGACATGAATGCTTTTAACAATTTTAACGATGGATCCCTCAAAGACCAAACCAACTCATTAAGCAGTTAACAAAATCGTACAACTTTCACTCTATTATAATTGCACAAAATGGAAGACCACAACATTGTATCTCACCCAAAAAAAAATTGCAAGGTCAAAAAATCAATATACATAAACATTGCAAAGCTGTAATAAAAAAGCACGTATTAGAATATCTCATTCTATTGGGTTGTAATAGCTCTAAGTTTGGAATCAGTTATCAAGAAACAACAATTTAGAGATATCAAAGTGAACAAGTCACAGGAGTACTATCAGTTATTATGCTTTGCCCCTTTGGTCAGTAGCTTTTTAATTTTTTAATTTTTTGGGGTAACTCCAACATCTCTCAAGTATACATGCATAAGACCATATGCCCATTATACCATACTTTTGGATCAGATTAGGAAGTGAATATACATGAAGAAAAAAAGGATATTAAAAGAGCTAAAACCTGGTAACTTTAAACAAACAATCAACTAAAAGACTATACAAAATTTGAAATAAAGAGGTGCACAACATGTAATTTAAAAATTCAGAATATCCATCTAATTTATAATTTCATTAAATCAATAACATAGAAGTATTAAAGGCAAAGGCAAAACGACATAGAATATATTCGCTATATGATAATCCTAAATAACTTGGTAAAACCAAATTAACAAGCAAATATGAATGAAAAAGTAAAAAATAAATAAAAGATCATAACTTCAAATAAAGAATAAACTGCATAATTATACCAAAAGGTCCAGAATTTATAAATATAATATTGCACTCATATATAATCAAAAATAATAACTACCCAAATAAACAATGCTCGTCAAAAGTAAGATCATATTTTTGAGAAAATAAAGAGTACCCATTAAAGATTTTTCCATGAGATGCGTTTTACTAAATCATTCATGTGGAGGCTTGTTTCAATTTTTGCTTTCTTAGATTATCAAAGAGAAAAAACACATGAGATGGGTATGGTATCATGCCTATAATACAAATATTTTCAAAAGCCAAGAACTTACAGTTGTAAAAGCAACAGAAGCAGCAGTAAGCAAGGATGAAAGCTGTTTTACCTTTTTGGCCTAGAGTAGGGATAAAGTAGACGGAAGATGGAAATTGTTTCCTATAAGG